GGTGAGCTAAGAAAATGCTTATCTCCCTGAGCTTGGCCTTCATAATTCCATTCCATCATACTTATGCAGGGAGTCTCCCTGTTCCTAGCCTGGTGCCTTAATTACTACACCAAACTGGCTCAGCTGTGGGTTTTGGGATTCCCCAATTCTGGGGACTGATGCACAATTTGGGGGTCCTCTTGGACTCTCAACTCTTGCTGAAAGAGCAGGTGGTAGCCATGGCCAGGAAGGCCTTTGCACAAATCCATTGTGTGCGCCAACTGCACTTGTTCCTGGATCAGGGGGCCCTGACTTGGTCACCTCTCATTTGGGCTCTTCCAATGCCCTATACATGGAGGCACCTTGAGGTTCACCCAGAAGCTGCAATTGGTCCAGAATGCACAGCATGTGTAGTTATGGGTGCACCATGGTGTGCCCAGATAACACCACTACCTTGCAAGCTGCATTGGCTCCCTATAGGCTTTTGAGTGCAATTCAAGGTGCTGGTTGTATGGCACTTTAGTTACAATCCTTCATGGCACAGGGCCAGGTTATTTGTGGGACTGCCTATCTTGAATTAGCTTTGCTCATCCCATGACATCCAGCAGAGTGGGCATGCTTCATGTCTTTTCTACCTGGGACCTGGTGGGATCTAGAAGTTAGGTGTGCCTTTTCTGTTGCAGTGCCTGCCCTATGAAACAAGATTCTCCCTGAGGTTCAGATGGCCCTGACCTTGCTGGCTTTCTGTAAGATGCTGAAAACCAGGCCTTCCCCTGTGCATTAAGCCAGAGCATGGGATGATCCCATTCAGAATTGAAAGGGGTTGAATGGAAGGCACTGTGGTTGGTTGGTTTATTCTGTTTTCAATGTTTGTTGTGTTTTGGTTTTTGGTTCCTTTGTTTTTTATGCTTCTATTTGTAAGCCACCTAGAGTCACTTCTGCGAGTTGGGTGGCCATATAAATCAAATCAATTAGACACATCAGGGGTGGGAGAAGAGACCATTGAGGGAAAGGGTGGTGATGGGGAGAAAGTAAATTACAGTGCAGATGCTCTTGTAACTTTTGGTTGATATACAACAACTGTCCTCTCTCTTACCTTCCAAGTATGGTAATCAGGGCTGTCCTCATGTGATTTCTCCCCCTTTGTAAGGAAGGATGGTAAAGGAGAGGCAGAAATGAGACATGAGACAGCATTCTGGAGCATCAAAGCTTACATGCAAGATACATGGTAGAGGAGAAAACTCTGCCAGTGCATGAACTGGTGCACAGACAGGTCAACTGGCAATGGACAAGAGTCTACCAGCCAAAATGCTGGCAGTAGTAATCAGTAAAGCTGCAATAGATATAATCACATTATCTTGGCCCCTAATTGTGCATAATCACATTATCTTGGCCCCTAATTGTGAATCCCATGGGATGAACCAACTGTTTCCAGTGGGGGCAAGTTTAAGAGCCAGCAGCCATTTCAAACAGCAAGCCTCAGTTGTTACGCACACTATTTATTGAAGACGCTGTTCAGCAACAAGTATGTGGAAAATGGAAACTTTCAGCTTGGATTCCCTCCACTACATTCTATTAAAAAAAAAAAAATGTGCAGAAGGATGAATGAAGGGCTCACAATCCTCACCCCATCCCCTCAAAAACTGAAGCGCCAACATTACTTTACAGGAAACAGCAACTGGGCATTTCTCAAGTTTAGCAAACTAAGAGGGTGCATTTGGAATGGCAGGGGTGTTGAAATACATAAACTCTGATTCAGACAAGAGTGGTTCCTTTGGTAGAACCCCATGAACACAGGATTCTTCCTTGACCTCCATGCTTTTCAGCTGAGCAGTGCAGGGATTCTGCACATACAAAGAATGCATGTATGACTGAGGTGTGCATGGATAGAAGAAAGGTGCAAATGTGTGAAGAAGGCATGGTAGAAGCATGTTGTGGAGATAAAGAAATGAAGGGACCTTCCCACTTTTAATGGTACTTCCTACCTAGCCCCCCCTCCCAAGAGTTCCTCCTCCTGCTTTAAATTATCACAAACAAAACCCCCAGACTGCTTCTGAGGGAAAAAAATTCTCAGCAGAGGAAATCAACTGGCTCCACAAATTTACAGTAGGGAAGCGGGCAAGGAGGATTAACCCCTCCACCCGGGAGACATTAAGGCACTAGAGAAGAGAGTTGAGAACTAGTCCAGCGATAGGGAGTTTCCACTCTCTCTCTTCCCAGAGTCCAGGGCAAGAAAGCCTTTCTGAAAAGGGCAACTGGTTGGCCTCATTAAGGCACTGCCAAAAGAGGCTGCTCTGGAGAAGGAGAAAGGACAGCTGCCACAATACGGGAAGACAGGTAAGTGGAAGAGTGGAGACTTTTTCTCCCATCCCATGAGAAGATTCACTTGAGGTTCTGAAGAAATGGACCCTCACTGGATCTCGACGGTTCGCTGTGGAATGCAACCCTCCATCTCAAGGGCTTCAGGCCAGCCCTCATACTTGTTGGAGCTCCTGCTGTTTTTTATATGCTGCAAAAAGAGCAAAGGTAGGGTATGCATGGGGCCTGGCCTCTTTTCCAGAGATTTTTTTCAATTGACTTTGGGGACCTTCCAAGGTCCTGAGACCAATACCTGCTCAAAGGGACTCTTGTCCTGCACTCCTTTGGCTCCAACAAAGACCCAGCTATCTCGAAAGGCCAGCTCTCGAGCAAATTTGCTGCCCAGTGCTGTGAAGATTTTGCGGGTCTCTTCATTCATTCTAGAGTGGAGCAGAGAGGAAAATTGAGCAAAGAAACCTCTATGGTTCACTTCTCCTGCTCCATCTGCACATTTCCTCTTCTCCCCTTGTATTTTTGGGTTAATTTAAGCAACTTCCTTTTCACTTTCTATTCATTCCCACTGACCTACTTATTTAAATCAAAGGCATTGGCTTAAAAAAGGATTTGGAACAGTTTGTTTCCCCAGTATATATCTCTATAACAACTGGAAATATTCTCAGTGCTCCTTTTTGAGTGGCTGAGAGAAGTACACATTCCTCTTTAGAGGAGTAATAGATTTCCTCCATATTGTTCCAAGTGATATCCTCATATGCCTTGTGTGACGATCTGCTAATGCAGAGGACTCCAATCTCAAACTTGAAGAGATTTACTTCTAAGGAAATAGGTCTCTTTAAGAGAGCTACTGAAACCCATGGAAATCTGTAGCTTGAAAAAGACCAGTTCAGCACTTCATGGTTTAACATTTGAAATGATCCATGTACCTACATATACACCAAACTGAGATCTTCCAGGTAGGGAGAACTCCAGCTAGAAAGTCTAGTGTGAAGTAGCCCTCCTAGAATGTAGATTTCACAAAAGGCAGTAGCACAATTTTTGGAAGATGGGAAAACAGCAGCCTTTCCTCTGCTAGAGAAAGATCCATGTGATCCCAAGAGGCTGCTAAGGCTAACTCTGAGTCAAGAATTACAACCAGAATTTCTTTTCCATCTGTGTGCTGCACCAATGGGAGAAGCTACTGCTGCCCAAGTTCTTCTTCTGGACAACTCCTACAGGTGCAAGACTGTTCTTGGTCAGACCCGGCAACCCAACTTTTGCTCCTAAATTGGGGTATCACACACAGGGCCTCTGGGCTGCATCAGCACCCCTTTCATGGCCCTCACAGTGAGCAGGGACCCAGTATATGGGGGGAACCTGGGGGAGATTTTAAGGGGCAAAATGAATCCCCTAAACTGCTGCATCGATTTCCTTAAAGCCACACAACCCTCCAAGTTCAGGTCCACTTTGGCTTCTGGCTTTGCCCACTATTGGACAGAACCCATAACTTGCTGAGTGCCTTCAGCAGCCCTGAACTGACAAAAGCTGTGCAAATGATAGCAGAGCCCAATATTCTGAGCCTTATATCTTCCTTTTCTCTGAATCTATTCAAACATACCTGCCCATCAGTTGATAACAGCATTTTCATCAAACATCAACCTGTGCGCACAAAGGAACCATCCCAAATCAAATGGAAATTTTGTCTCTCATGATTTTACTATGTAGCGTTGTTTTATTTTTTTTAAATACATGATTTGCCATGTGGACTTAATTAAGGGCTGGCATATAAATTTGATATGATCATCAACTGATCATTTCATGTGACTTGTGAATGCTTGTCTACAAAAGCTGGTTGGCTTGTTGACCAAGGGTTGAACAATCAAACTATGCAAACAAGCAAAAGGAAATCCTTGTTAAATGCATTGTTAAAACAATGCAAATTGCTTTTGAAGGATGTGGTTAAAGCCAACTTAGAAAGGTTTAATGATTAGGACATTCAAGAATGTTTAGGCTCTCAGTAGCTACTAGCCATACTGGATACATGTTACTTTCACATTATGTAACTTCTGAGTGTCAGTTGCTCAGAATCCTGAGTGGGAGAATGCTATAGTGCACATAAGAGTGTTTCTTAATGTTCCTTTGATGTCAATATGAAATTCCATCACATGAATCAGAAGTATATTTCTAGATTGAACATCATTCAACACTCACTTTGTGGCAGGATCATCATAAGATGCTACAAATACCAGTGTCCCCTCATGCAATGGCCGGATGAATTTTAGCAGCTCGTTCACATCTGGAGGAGATAAGAAGAGTTAGAGTGAGTAAGGTAGCCTAACCCAGCCTTCCCTCCATATCTACAACATCCTTTCATTTCTTCAGAGAAATGTCTCAGCTTCTCTCCAGGCCACTTTTATTTTTCCATCAATACCAAATCCTTTCCATTACCACATACTCACCTCCTGCCCACATGTCAAAACACTTGGCATCAATCAGGTCTCCATTCACACCTGAAAGCAAAGCAGAGCAGGGTTAATGGCCAGATTTACTTCACTCTGCAGCGTGGGTGGGCAATTGGCAGCCTGCCTGTGGCCCTTCCTCATCACACAGTTGAAATCTGATAGTACACTTCATTTCCATTTTAAGTTTTTTTTTTTTAAAGTGTGCCATTTTTGTTAGAATTTCAGTTTTTTGTATTTCCCTGTCCTCTTTATTCTAACATCCCACTCACCATGACATCATGCCCCTGCAATGAAGACCTTAGCCAAAAAAATAAAAGATTAGGAATGATATCATGGTATATGTGTCTAACATTCTCTTTGTGAATACGACATTAGATATATTGGAGAGTAGAGCTGTGTGTCCCTTGAAACAGTGCTTCAGAGCCCCCATGACTGTAGCCCCTTTAGTGGCCTTCTGCCACTAGAAAATTATACAACTTTAACATACATGTTCTCATAAGTCTATCTCACCATTCACCAGGGCAACGTTCAGACCTCTGCCTACATTATCCTTCATGCTGCTCATTAGCCTGAAAGAAATATGAGGGCAGATCAGATCCTTCAAAGGAGGGTACCCAGGAGTCCAGTATAGCCAGCCCCCATGGACTTGCACAAGTATATCCAGCCCTGAAGACTTTGCCTGGCTCACATTTTATCTTCAAGGCAGATCTTGGGCCCAATGACATTGGCTGCACCACTTGTGATCCGGAAGGCAAATGAATGCTCTGGGCAGGGCTGAGGGAGGCCACACTTGTATTTCTTTGGCCTTGGTTCTGAAAAGAGAGCAAAGGTGAGACCTTCAAGTCCCTGGCCAGAAGTATACTGAAGTAGAAGGTATCCTGCACATATCTCCCTGATTTCAATTTAAAATACTTCCAGATAAGTATGGATTTATAAGGTTCCCTATGGCTCTTATCCTAAGGATCCTACCAGTCCTGCTCATTCTAACTCTGGGGACTTAGCCCAAGGGCCAGGGCACTACACTCAGCCTTCAGTGTCCCAAGCGCTTGAAGGAGACCATTCAAATCAGCTGAAGAAGAGCTGGTGCCAGGACTGCTGGAGAGCTTTGAGGACCTACCCGAGAGAGAGCAATCCACTCCACCACCCAGCTAAAAACCACCTTATGAATCAGGAAACATACACAAGCCTCCTATATTCAAGAATTAGAGAAACAGGAAGAACAACTTTCCTGCATGAGCAAGGGAGCTTCTGAGAAATAAGGATAAAAAGGAAGACAGGAAATGTGACTTTCTAGAACTACTATGCAAAAGTCCATTGTGCTATCCTGTACCCCCAATTCCCTTTCAACTTCTCTGAACTCACTGCGATGACTATTGCTGCTGCCTGCAAAATTCTTTGCCGAGACCACTCTGATCTGTATCTTGTCCAAATCTGACAATGATGGATAAAGAGTCAGGATTCCAGGGACAGCAAGAGAGACACAAAGCCAGGACAGACAAGACAGGTAAGTGGTGTGGGACCTTGGCTTCCCACCAGTCCTTGCAATGTCTTAACACCAGCCTTCCCCTACCTGCCTTCCCTCTCAGAATTCCTTAGCTATTTTTTAAGCCATGTTAACTAAGAATTCTGGGAGCTGGTCCACCACAACTAGTGGGTAGCAGATAGAAAAAGACTTCATACACCATCTCTTTGTAAGGCTGTCTCCCACTCTGGCTACAGAAAACTCGCTTCTCACTGAGCTAGGGGGACAATGTATCATCCTTCCCTACCCTCTATCTGGTACCTGTATACAGTGCAGCAAAGAAACTGAATTCTGTTACCAGATAAGGATTACTGCCAGTCTGGTTTCCCCAAGAAAGCACACAGAGTTGCCAATGCAAGCTTCCCATCTCCAGCCCTGCACTACTTAATTTCTGTCTGAATTTTGACTGATTCACTCTTCCTTGTATGGGCCAAACTACATGCCCCTCAGCTAGTGATGCTGTATGACTGGTGTCTGGGCAAAAGAATTCGTTGACCCCCACAACTCTTTCATTTCATTTAATTTCTGTTAACTATGAACAATTGGTAATCATTTTTGTTATTTCCCCTAGCCATGACAAGCAGCATTGTGAAAACACTAATGCACTGTCTTGACTTTTGTTTTAGCTGTGCTAAAAGATACTTTCTGGTTTAGCTGGATACAATTCAAGATCTGTTTGAAAACTGCAATGGTTTAATTGTTCATGAAATCTTAGCAAGGCCAGATTCAGCCATGGGTTTGCAAATAACAAGCGTGTAGATTCCTCCTACCCCAACCCTGGCCTCTTACATATATGTTTTATGCATGAAGACTCCCATCACCAGCAATAAGATAGCTAGGGATGATGGGAGACAATATCCAATATATCAGAAGGGCCACCTGGTTAGAGAAGGCTGTTCTATGCATGTATTGCTTGCAAACCTGTTACTCCAACTAACTATGAACAAAGGGAGAGGGCATCAGGTTGGGGGAGGCTGGTGGGAACTGTGCAGAAATGTAGCCAATCATCTACCTGTAGTGGGAGTGTTCTCTGGACCTGCAAGGAAGCAAAGAAACAGTAGCATCAGCAAGGTATTCAGTGTAGAGTTATCACAAATGTCCTGCTACATCTCCTCGAACATACAGAGGCAGCCAGAAGCCAGTATCAAATTTTCCTTGATTCTTCAATACTTCAGCACAGAATGTGCCAAGGGATTACTTTTAAAAGGCTTGTTTCTGATTAAGCTTGAAAAGGATATTCAAAACAGCAAGCTAAGAAAGACTTGCCTCTTTTGACTGACCTAAAATGAAAAGCTTACAGCTTTAACTTGAGTGTCACTAGGTTTGCTAAACTACTCTAAGGTTACTAAATCTTCCACGTCCACTTTTAAAATGATTGTACATCACTACCTCAGGCAAGCATATCACTTTCATACCATAGAAAAAATTAGAATAGTGTCCTCCAGTCAAGCATCCATGATTTCCAAAGTTACTCAAGAATCTATATTTTCAATATTCCATCATGGAAGAAAAGAAATTTGTAATTGGTGGCATGAACTGATCCAAGGTTGACATGAATTAAAAACAGGAAAACTCAAACATGAGGACAGACACAGCTATGCTTTCTGAAGGCTAGCTAGTTGGAGATTGAACATCTAAGAATACATTCTCAGCTGCCAGGAATAAAACATAGCATGCTATACTTTGATATGTATTGGGCATTTGATGTAATGAGTACATCAGTGCTAGCTGGAAGAGTTTCCACATTCCAAATCCTTATTTAGTCTCACTCAGTGACTCTACGCTGCCTCTTTTTTGTATTGAGCCTGCTTTAAGAAATTGTTGTGAGAATAAATGCAATAAGCCCTTGAGCAAAATAAATGCATGCATCACATAAACCAGGTGAAGTGGGAGTAATTAAACTGCACTGGAACAGAAAGTGGAAGTGAGCATTCAGAAGCAATTAGAATTCATGGGGTTTTAACCAAAGGAAAGTTAAAAGTTCAGGGTAATTAAGTCTGACTACACAATAAACTGTGCTCAGTAAATTACAAAAGATCTCTGCTGGGCTTTCTGAATTCCTTCTGCTTTAATCCAAATTGTTGTTCTATTTTCAGGTATAACTGGCACATAGACTATAGCTGCACCTTAACTCAGCATCATAAAGGTCTTCAGTTTCACTTATTTGCAAGGTACAAGGCCAGTCCAGGTCACTGAAGTACATAAAAAGAGGTCCACACTGCCACCGAACTTCCTCCATAACTCATCATATAACCCTCACGGCAGCATATGGATTTCGTCAGTGGCTTGGCAGTTCCAAGCTGTTAACAAACAGATGCTTCTGGAAATCCAGAAGTAATGAATGAAGGTGGCGGGCTTCCTTTGCTATCTGTCCCCAGTATGTGGCGGTGTATTTCCATATACAGAGGTTTCATTTAGCTTTCATACCTAATGGCCATTCAGAGGTCTTCCCCAATCTGGGCAACTTCCATATATGTGGATGTCAATTCCCAAATTTTTCAGCAATAACCATGCTGGCTGGGAGATTCTGGGAGCTGAAGTCTAGACATCTGGAGGACACTTAGATCACAAAAGGCCTATCTAAACATTCTCTTATCCTTCTTAGTATTGTGCTGCCAACCTACTGAACATTCTCCTGAACTTAATGAAGGCCAGGAGTAGGGAAGTGCCGCGCTTCAGATCCAAAGCAGAAAAAAATAAGGAGGCATGAAGAACATGCCCATCTCTACTGCAAGGCACCTTACTGCACCCTGTCAACACTGCCTTACCTGAAATGTGCATTTTCCTGGGATTGTACCACTACTATGTGAGTGAGCCCAGGAGAAGAGGCAGCTTCTTGAAGGAGGCATCAACAGGTGAAGTATGCAAGCCCAATGGCTGCTGTGAAGCATTTTTTCTACTTTGGGTTTGAAGCACTGCATATCCCAAGCTAATAGCAAAGCACAGTGAGTATGCACAGGAAAGACTGTGGTTGCTGCAAGGGAACAATTGTTCCATGTCCTAGCAATCCTCCGTACTTCCTCCTTCCCCTCTCTTAGTGTTCTTGTTCTTACTGCTGAGGAACTGCTGCAGCCGAGAGAAACTGCTTTGGGTCCCCATCAAGATGCTGACAAGGATCCAGGTCAGCCCTGCCGTCAAGACGATCACAACAATGCGAAGAGGACCTGAGACAATTAAGAAAAATAAAGTCAGGCCAACAGCAAAGCCAAAAGGAAACCTTGAAGGAAGACTGAACCCAACTGCTACACTATAGTCATCCAGTAGCGGCTGCCATGTCTGCCCCTTGTTGTCCCAGAAGCTTAAATGCTCCAAAGGGCCTACTGGATGTCAGTGGCTAAAGGTTATCTTCCTGTCTGAAGGGCTGCCTCATGCCCTCACTTTTCTCTCCCAGCCACAGCTCACCTGCTAGTCTCATGGCCCCTTGAGAGTGTCCAGAACCAGTGGAAATCCAGTGCTATTAGGCTCCTGAGGTAGTAGAATGGGTGAGGGAGTCTGAGGTGGGTTAGTCACATGTACCCTTCAAACTACAGAGATCAGAAATGGCAGTCAGAGTCAACCCAAGGAAGATAAAACTCCTGCAATACTCAGGACAAGTATCCAGGAGTTCTACACTAACACATATATGAAATTATAACATACAGATAGATAACAGAAATCAAACAAACCATCTGGTATGATTTTCATGGCTAGGCTGCAGGCCATTTCACGTAACACCAAACCCATTCAGCATGGAATTACAACTAAACTCAGCTTGAATAATTTTTTAAAAAGTATCCCACCAAACCAGCAGCTTAAATTGCTTTGCATATGGACAACTGAGGCAGCTCCCTCAAAGCAGGCAATACAGTAGAGGACCTCTGAATTTGCTTGCCACAGGACTTCTCCAGCTATACTTTTGATTAACTGTAGCTGCCCGACACTTTTCAAAGGTAAGCCATTACAATAGTCTAATCTTGTGACATGAAACTTAATAGCTAGCTGTGGATGCAGAACCACAAATATAAATATATAAAATTCCTGACAGCAGGGCAGGGCAAGGCAGAATTTCCTCCCATTTTTTTGCCAGTCTGCAGGTAAAAATGTTTTGCAATCACTAAAGCAAGCGTGGAACTTGTTGGTTTCCAAGGGGGTTGCTAAAATCTACACATAACTGCAAGGCTCAGAATTCAACCAAGACCTCAACAAAATGGTGTCAGTTTAGGTTGCGGGGCAGGATACTACTTTTAAGTATACACAAACCCTACCCTCTGTATCCAGTTTTACTTGAATTACACTGAGCTCTGCAGCACTCTTGCTTCACCCTGCAGAAAACTCTTTCTTTACCCCACCCCCTTCTTTTACCCTACAGTATTCACTCAACCAACTTCAGTTCCTCCTCTGAACAACTTAGAGCTACTAATTCATCCCACCTCCAGGTCCAAAGCAAGTGTCTGGGTTGATTCCCATGGGAGATAAGGTCCCATTTATGCCTTCTCCCATTCACAGATGTGAATATGGACCTTTATGGTGCCGAGCACCCCTCTTCTTCCTCTAGTCTTGAGACTGCTGCTCTCTCACCCTCCCCCCTGTTCTATTTCTTCTTCCACCCTCCCTTATGAGCTGCAAATAGGAAGGCCACTAGGTTCTCGCTTCACCTACATAGGTTGAACCTTGTGTCTTTCTATCCGTTAACCTATAGGAACTACACCGGACCGTGTCCAGAAGAGAACAATTCGGAAATTAAGTTCTACTAAAATAGCCAGAGCAAATCGCTGCATGCTGCTGACCCCCCCCCCAAAACAAACAAAAAACCTATGCAGGGTCGGACCGGCGGCTTGTACTTGGTGGGAAATCACCGGGAAAACCAGGGATGAGCACCGGACTGGAGCAGGTCGAGCAAACATCGCGGGAGACGGAACGGCAAATCACTTCCATATTGTTGCCAAGCGAACTGCGCGAACGCGTCGTCACAGTCGAGCTCCATCCGAGGGCGGCTTCCGATATTTCTTTCCACGCCAACAGCCCAGCGGCCGCGACTCTGCAGGCGTCCCCCGAACCCCACCCACGTCCCCGCGCCGAGCACTCCAGTCCCGCGCGCTCTCGAGCAGGGCCTCCCTCCTCCTCAACCCGCCGCCCTCCCCTGTGCTGCCTGAACCCTCCCCGCTGCCCACGTACTCATCTCCCAAACACCCCAGTCGCCTCATGGTTCCTTGCAGCTTCCTCGAGGCACTCGGTCGCGAAAGCAATCTGCGCGGGCCTTCCAGCGGCTAGCGGCGCTCCGCCCGGTTCCAGCCTAGGACAAAATTTTCCGGCTTGCTCTTGCTCTTGCTCTTGCTCGGCAGCAGCAGCAGCAGCCAGCAAGCAGCTGCTCCTCCTCCGTCGGCGGCTCCGCCCAGTCCCCTGGGTAGAACAGCTCAGGCGGAGGCGGCCGGAGGGCTCCCCGTGTCCCTCGCTCGCCTCCGCTCCCGGCGCGTCCCTCTCGGGGTGCTCGGTCATGTGCGCATCCCAGCCCCTCGCCCGCCCCACGCCGAGCACGGAGCCGCTCCACCCACTCCGCGGCTGGCCGCCGCCGCCGCCGCTGTCCCTCGCGATAAGGCTTATTCCGGTCGGACACGCCTCGGGAATTGGAACTTTCCCACGGTCTACTGGCCTCATTCCCTTATTCCACTTCGCCCCTACTCACGAGGAATATACTCTTACCAGGCTTAATTGGCGTAAAGACCAGGGCTATGATTTCGTCTGAAATCCAGCGTTTCCGAGAGTCCCGGAAAAGTCGCGGCCGCTTGAAAGAGTTGCGGGTAGGTTCTTAGGTTGGCACCCGGCCACCCCAACGCACCTTTTGGAGTCTCCTGGAAATCAAATTACGCCTCGGAAAGGGGAGGGGAAAAAATACCAAATAAAGCTAAGCCGAGAGAGCAATACTTTTTAAGTTGTTAGATTTCCCCTCAGGAGCATCCTTTTTCAATTTTTCCAGAGTAAGTCACTAGATACCAGATGATGACTGGGCACAAATTATCCACCCATGCTTTTATGGTCTTTCACCTAATTAAGCCACCATTGCACCACAGGTTAATAAATAGCTGTCCTTTCCTTTTTTTTAAGATTTTTTTTATCCCGCCTTTATTATTTTTATAAATATTGCAACTCAAGGCAGCAAACATAGGTAATACTCCTTCCTCCTCCTATTTTCTACACAACAACAACCTGAGAGGTGAGTTGGGCTGAGAGAGAGAGAGACAGACTGGCTCAAAGTCACCCAGCTGGCTTTCATGCCTAAGGCAGGACTAAAACTCACCGTCTTCTGGTGTCTAGGCCCACACCTTAACCACTAGACCAAACTGGTTCTCCTCTCCTCTCCCTTCCCTGATATTTTAGTTTACATCCACAGCTCCATGGTTCTAAAATTTCTAAACTATTCTGACAGATTTTAAGTTACATTATACAGTATTTGGCATAATAAACTCTCAGCAGTAAACAAGTTACAGTTTATACAGCAGATAGTGTTACACATTCATTCCAATTTCCAGGGTTTCAGTATACATGAAACTCCCATGTACTGTTATTCTCCTGATACAATGCAGCTTTCCTCAACCTAGTATATCATGCACTGCTAGCTATACTGTACTGACTGAGAATTATGGAAGTTGTAATCCAGCACAGCTATAGAGGGCCAGGTTGGGAAAACTGCAAGGTTTCATTCTTAGCCTTTAATTTACAGTAGGCTAAAAAGAAGTTTGCCCAGTTTCCTATCACAAACACTAGAAGCCACAATGAATGCACAGTTTTTAATGCCATCAACACTGTACTAGGCTAAGCTTGGCACATCCAGGGCTGCATTCCAGAACTGGACATATCCAGAGCCCATTTTGGAGGGTTTGGAGATTTTAAGGAAGAAATGGGTGCCTTAAACCTACACAGGGTATTACACTCATCCAAAATCTTGGCCTCCCACCCAAGAGCTGCATATAGGCTACAAGGGGGAGATGCAGTTTTATAGTATGCAAAACCCAACAATTTGTTTTTTTCTCTTCTTTCTTCCACTTCTGAAACATCCTTTTATAATGTAGAAGAAAGAATAATTTTAACTTAATAATATGCAGGTCAAATGTATTCCAACCCCTGCGCCCTTTTTTCCCTTTTTCCTCTCTTACAACCTTGAAATTCTGTGCTTCAACTGCTAACTAAATGGGTAAAAGACTGAATTGCTGGATCCCTATAATTCATATGCAGAAATTAATCCAGAGTGAACTGGAGCCACCCCACTGGTTTGTTCTACCATACTGGGCCTCCAACTCACATTCATCTGAAGGGGCAGTAAAACTTTATAGCATTAGGACCATCCAGCACACAGAGGTCCCATGTGGGTGAAGTACTATAACCTATACTATAATGGATTCAGCTAAACACAGATGTGTGTCTTCTTTGTCCACATGAAGGCAAGGGAGCACGATCTGTGACATTCTTGAACCTAGAGGGATAGTCTGCAGCAAAGTTTGCCTGACTTCTGGTTCCTTTCCAGTGTTTCCCAACCTTGTCAACTTCTTGATCCTTGCCTTTCAGTACCCAGAATTCCCGAGCCAGCATGGCCATTGCTTGGTATTCTGGGAGTTGAAGCCCATACACCTAAAAGTTGCCAAGGCTGAGAAACACTGCATTAGACCAGGCCAGGCAGTGGGCCTTATATATTCCCTTGCCACTTGTCTCACCAATTTTTAAAAAATGATTAGTTTAATAAATAATATTAAATAGGAAATCACACCAGCATATAACAGCATAATTATTTTGCAGCAATACTTCTGGGTCCCACAATAATCTCACTGGAATGGCACGTAGCGCCCTTGGGAGGCAGTGTCATCTTGGTAAAAGGGGTGCAACTAGCCATGCCCATCAAAGCAACCATTCTGTGAACAGGCATGGCTCCCTCGGCGACCATTTTATGTGCATCCTCATTTCATGCTCTTGAAATTCCAGGTGCACCCCGGCTCAAAAAGCTGCCTACCGCTGATTTAAACTGGCAATCCCAATGCACCCTCAAAAAGCCTCATGTGCAGCCCTGAGAATCCTTTAAAATGTATGTTTTAATGTGAGGGAAGAGGAAAGATAATTAGATTTATGGCTGTCACCCACTATAATTAAAATTAAATCAAACCAAGTAGTTTTGTCTTGCCCCTCTCCATCATTACTTTTTGGAATGCAGCTTCTGACATGCTACCAGTCCAGAAATGTTGCCCATTCCTATTTTTTAGACCTTCCCTTTCTGGCTTAGACTACCACAAATAACCTGTAAATATTGGAATCTAAGAGTAGATTCTTTGTTAGGCCAATATACGTGTGAGTGTTTCTATGTCTTTAAATTTCCAACTTGAATATGTTTGACAACCAAAGGATATCTCTCCTTAATTTGGGGTCACCTTGTTTGGCTTTCCCACTGATACCCACAGAGATACAGTATACTCAGCCTCCCGAGCTTGCTATTAGAAGGAACAAGATACAGCTCTGTGTTTCTGACATCCAAGCATTAACTAAGCCTTTGGTTGGCTGAAATATGTATTAGCATGAAAAACAGGAATCCCTACTGTAACAGGTTTTTCTTCACATGCAATAAAAAAACCCCTGTACATTTAAGAATGCAGCAATATGCATGTAAATCAGTAGTGTCTGATTTGACATGGGAGAAACTCTGATTAACTTTTGCCAGAATTTGAGAAATAGGGGACCTTTTTTTTTTACTAGGAATCAGAACCAATATACAACATTAATGTTAGATTTTGCTACAAATTGTTCCAACTTCATCCAAACTTACAATAAAGGCCCAGACAACACTCTGTTGTCTCTCAGCTACAGCCTCTTTCAGCCTTCTATATGGAGAAAATGAACAGCATTTGCTCTGGGATTAGCATTAGCAGCTTTATTTTGTAATATTCAGCTCTTATCGAATCAGCTTTTGCGCCTGGCTTTTGAGAGGTTGGAGCAGGTCTACTGCATTGTATGTCCTCAAGCCTGGTTACATAGCATCCAACACGCAACTGCACAATAAATCTTCTACAAACCAAACCACAACTGTCATATTACTCGCCAGCCAAATACAAAGCATTATTTTTCAACTGCTGCTCATGAAGTTATCCATCACAAAACATTCTTCAACAATTGCCAAAACAGCAACCATTTGAGGATAATGTAAAGCAAGCACAAACAGCTGACTGTGGCAATATTTGGAATATTTCTTAATTGCTGCCCCTGCTCCCTCACCTTCTAATTGCTAATTTATTTTCTTGCTGCTGATTCAAGATATGCTTCCACTCATTGTTGTAATCCTTTGCTTCGCTAGTTCTGGTTCTTGCTTACCAAAGCAGGTAGTTTGTTTTCACTGGTAATGCTGGTGTTTGTACTGCTTTCCAAATATGTATAATTATACACACGCACACACCCAGATGTGGAATTTTCAAATGGCCCTGGTGCATACAACTTGAACTACTCCCCCCAAATGGATATAAATATGGGGAGGACTCAGAACAGTTCACTGAACACATTAAAATCAAGATTAGTTATGCATACCACCCTGGCACTCAGCAGTCTCAACACAGTAATTTCCTTCACTCACAAAAGATTCCTCAACAGAGAAAATTAAATGCTAAAAAGGATTCCGGTCAACCTTTCTCATTGCTGTAAAATTTTTCTAATAATATATTCCTCCTAAGACATAATATATTCTTCCTAGAACATTTAACCTTGGGTGAGCTCATCCTTGCAATCTTGAATGGCACAGCCTGTGTGTAAATTTACCATCTCAGTGAAATGAAAGTGAAACTCTCAGCATGAACTTAGTGACTTCCTGATCTGTGAACCCACTCTTGGAAGATGCCGTGTGTGTTTGTTACAATTTAATCTATATGTTAGATTTATATCCCTCCTTTTATTCAGGAGCAAAAGGTAGCTTGCACACTATAGAGATCTCCTTTGATTACCACTGAATGGTATGCCATTAGGGATAGGAACTATCTTTTGAGCCAAATCACAGGTTTTCAGTATGTTGCAGAAACACCAAGACATTATTTTATTATTTACTTATTATATCTGCATCTCATCTTTAATCCAAGGGCTCAAGGCAGTTTATATGGAGATTTCAATTTTACCCCTATAGCAGCCTTATGAGATAGTTTGGGCTAGAAGAAAGAGTGATTGGACTAAAATCACCCAGTGAATTTCCATGACTGGGAGTGGATTTAAATGTGATTCTACTCAATCCTAGTCCAACACCTTAACCACTAAACCATAGTGGCATTTGGGACATGATGGACAAGAGAGCAATATTTTGACTTCTATTCAGTTCCAACATACTGTCGAACCACAGTATATAGAGATCGCTAACTTTATGCCTTCCAGATAAGCTGGGATAACAATACTGTACCCAGATTTACAGAGATTGTAGTTTAGAGAGCACCAGACTGGAGGATGCTGGTTTAGAAGAGCCCAAACCATGGTTTGAGTTTTCACCATAAAGGCAAACTATGATTTT